CAGGCAGAGTGGACAGTGAGAGAGAGACAGAGAGAAAGGTCTTCCTTCCGTTGGTTCACCCTCCAATGGCCGCTGTGGCTGGCGCGCCACGCTGATCCAAAGCCAGAAGCCAGGTGCTCTCCCTGGTCTCCCATGCGGGTGCGGGGCCCAAGAACTTGGGCCATCCTCCACTGCCTTCCCGGGCCACAGCAGAGAGCTGCACTGGAAGAGGGGCAACCGGGACAGAATCCGGCACCCTGACCGGGACTAGAACCCAGTGTGCTGGCGCTGCAGGCAGAGGATTAGCCTATTGAGCCGCAGTGCCGGCCTTGATTTCTTTTATGACTCACTGTTCTTTCAGGAGCCTGTTGTTCATTCTCTGTGTGTTTGCATATTTTCTAGAGATTCTTGAGTTGTTAATTTCCAGCTTAATTGCATTGTGGTCACAAAAGATAAATGGTATTATTTCAATTTTTTTTTTTTAATTTGCTGAGACTAGCTGAAGGCCTGGCATATGGTGTATCCCAGAGGAAGTTCTATGCACTGATGAAAAGAACGTGTATTCTTCAATTGTGGGATGAAATGTTTGGTAGATATGAGTTAGGTCCATTAGGTCTGTAGTGTAGATTAGCTCTGTTGTTTCTTTTTTGATTTTATATCTAGTTGATCTGTTCATTGATGAAAGTGAGGCATTGAAATCCCCCATTACTATTGTATTTGAGTCTGTGTCTACCTTTAGATCGATTAACATTTGCTTGAAATAGCCAGGTGCCCTGGCATTGGGTGAATGTACATTTATTGTAGTTATATCTTCCATTTGAATTGATTGCTTAACCATTACGTAGCACCCTTTGTCTCTCTTAATAATTTTTGTGTTCAAGTCTATTTTGTCTGATATTAGGATGGCTACAGCTGATCATTGTTGCTTTCCATTAGCATAGAATATCTTTTTCCATCCTTTCACTTTCAGTGTGTGTGTATCTTTGCTGGTGAGATGTATTTCTTGTAGGCAGCAAATAGATGGGTCTTGTTTTTTAACCCATTCAACCAGGCTGTGCCTTTAATTGGAGAATTTAGGCAATTTTTTTTTTTTTTGACAGGCAGAGTGGATAGTGAGAGAGAGAGACAGAAAGATCCTCCTTTTGCCGTTGGTTCATCCTCCAATGGCCGCCATGGCTGGCACGCTGCGGCCAGCATACCACGCCCATCCAAAGGCAGGAACCAGGTGCTTCTCCTGGTCTCCCATGGGGTGCAGGGCCCAAGGACTTGGGCCATCCTCCACTGCACTCCCTGGCCACAGCAGAGAGCTGGCCTGGAAGAGGGGCAACCGGGACAGAATCCGGCACCCCGACCGGGACTAGAACCCGGTGTGCCAGCACCGCTAGGTGGAGGATTAGCCTATTGAGCTGTGGCGCCAGCGAATTTAGGCAATTTACATTCAAGGTTCCTATTGATAAGTATTGATGTAGCCCTGCCATTTTCCTGTAAATATTTCTATTGATTGATTGCTTTGGGTTTCCTTTGTACTTTTACTAGGAGATTTTCTGCCTTTTTTTTTTTTTTTTTTTTGACAGGCAGAGTGGACAGTGAGAGAGAGAGACAGAGAGAAAGGTCTTCCTTTGCCGTTGGTTCACCCTCCAATGGCCACCGCGGCCGGCGCGCTGCGGCCGGCGCACTGCACTGATCCGATGGCAGGAGCCAGGAGCCAGGTACTTCTCCTGGTCTCCCATGGGGTGCAGGGCCCAAGCACCTGGGCCATCCTCCACTGCACTCCCGGGCCACAGCAGAGAGCTGACCTGGAAGAGGGGCAACCGGGACAGAATCCGGCGCCCCGACCGGGACTAGAATCCGGTGTGCCGGCGCCGCAAGGCAGAGGATTAGCCTAGTGAGCCGCGGCGCCAGCCCTTTTTTTTTTTTTTAAATAATGATAACTGTCTGTGTGTTTCTGTGTGTAGCACATCCTTAAGCACCATTTGTAAGACTGGACCAGTGATAGCAAATTCTTTCAATTTCTGTTTTTTATGGGAGTTCTTTATTTTATCTTCATTCATAAATGAGAGGTGTTGCAAGGTACAGTATACTGGGTTGACAATTTTTTTCTTTTAAGACTTGGACTATGTCTCTCCATTGTCTCCTAACCTGTAGGGTTTTTGATGAAAAATCACCTCTGAGTCTAATTGGAGATCCTCTGAAGGTAATCTGTCTGTTCTCTCATGAACGTTGTAGAATCTTTTCTTTATATTTAGCTGTTGAAAGTTTAACTACAATGTGTCGTGGTGAAGATCTTTTCTGATCATGTCTATTAGGAGTTCTGTGTTCTTCCTACACTTGGCTGTCTTTTTGTTTCTCCAAATTAGTGAAATTTTCTGTTATTATTTACTGAATAGGCCTTCTAATTCATTCTCTGTTTCCATGCCTTCAGGAACTCCCCAAGACCTGTGTATTAGTTATTTGACCGTATCCCATAAATTGCCAACACTGTTTTTACACTGATCTTAGCAGAAAGGCCCAGAGCAATGCCTACACTCTTTTTAATTTGTCTCATTTCTTCTGTGTTTTGGTGTGACTGACATGTTTCCAAAGATTTGTCTTCTAGCTCAGATATTATCTTTTCTGCCCCACCAAGTTAAGGCTTTCCACTGTATTTTTTTATTTGACATATTGAATTCCTCATTTCTAATATTTCAGTTTGATTTCACTTCACAGTCTCAATCTCATGGGAAAATTTTTCCTCCATGTCATGTATAGATTTCTTTAACTCATGAATTTGCTTCTCATTGCTTCTGCGTAATCCTATGATCATTCTTTTGAATTTGTTCTCAGGCATTTCATCTGTCTCTTTGTTTGCATATTCTCATATTGAAGGGTTGTTGTGTTCTTTTGCAGGGGTCATGTTGTTTCCTTGTTCTTGTTTCTCCTATTTCTGTTTATTTTTAGGTATTTGTAGAAGCACTTGTTGATTTTCTCTACTGTTGGGTTTTATCTTTGCCCTATGCTTCTGTGGCTTAGTGGAGTATTGCTCTTTCACTGGATACCCAGAGGCGTGTTGTGAGTGTGTCCAGGAAACGGGTCAGTGCTCAGAGTTGGGGCGAGAATCCAAGGGTATGATAGGTCTGCTCTGTTGTCAGCAGAGGGAGGGTATCATCACATCTGTTGGCGTAATAATAGCCTCATCTCCTCTCTTCCAAGGTGATCAATACCTGGGGTTAGCCCACAGTGGCTACAGCCCTCATCCACCCTGAAGCATGAATCAAATAAGGAATCTGTACAGTCCTCAGTGTGAGCACAGATACCTCTGCATTTAGCCACGCCAGACAATCAGGGAGCTCTGAGCCTCTGACACCAGACACAGGGATTGCTCAGAGACTCAGGTATACGCCATACTGTATTGCACAGTTGCACAGTTCCCACAGTCACAGGGTACAGAGGACCCCCTCCCCACTCTACCAGCTTGCCCTGTCCCAGAGAGCCAGATGCCTGTGGGTGCTCCACTTTGGCAGTTGGAGCCCCAGACCATGAAATACGTTGAGAGGTTAGGGGCACCTCACAACCCGAAGTTGGTACCCAGCCCCCCGTCAACCCTTCCAGCCCATTCAAAGGCAGTGGGAAATGCAAAATCCCTTGGTCGTTCATGTGAGACCTGCTACAGCCTCTACTTGTGTCAAGAATGCACCTCCCCTTTGGTTGCTGGGTGCCATTGTTGGGGGGTGGGGAGAAGGAAATGTGCTTTTTCTTTGCTGGAGCAGGTTCTGGGCCGAACTGATGGACAGTGTGTTCCTCAAGGCTCTCCCATATGCAGTATCAGCAGTGGCGCTGGCTGCTGCAGCCTGCATCGCCTCACTCTCAGAACCTGGCGTCTTCTCCAGTCTGCAGCTGTGGGAGTTGTGGATAGTGTCCCTGCTCGGTGTTGTGCATCTGCACTTCCCACACTGCTCCACGACGTTCCCTGCTTTCTCTAGAATTTCCATGGCAAACTCCTCTCCAGCTCTCCCCTGGGAATGCACTTCCTGTGTGTGTGTGTGTGTGTGTTTTTTTTTTTTTCTTTCCTCTGCTGTCCTCTGGTCAGAATCAGCACGTCTTTTCCCTATTCAGTCACCTTGGAATCTCTGAGATTGTTAAGGCAAGGTGATGTGCTGCAAGTGTTTCTTAAAATGCATTTCAGACTACCGTTTGGATTTAGTGTTAATGGAGACTGTGTGGGATGGAAGTTTGTGCTCATATACATTTAGAAAATACAGTGTTAAATAAAGTTAGATATCTTGAATCTAGTGCATCTCAGAAGCTCTTACTAATGCTAAGTTCTAAATCTTCAACATGGAGAAATAGTACACAGTGACTGTGTTTGGCTGTAGAGCCCTTGTCCCTTCAGCCCGTATTTCCATTAATAAGTATCTAAGCCGGTGCTGTGGCATAGCAGGTAAAGCCACCACCTGCAGTGCCAGCATCCCATGTGGGCACTGGTTCAAGACCTGGCTGCTCCACTTTGGATCCAGCTCTTTGCTATGGCCAGGGAAAGCAGTAGAAGATGGCCCAAGGCCTTGGACTCCTGCACCCGCGTGGGAGACCCGGAAGAAGCTCCTGGCTCCTGGCTTCAGATATGCACAGCTCCAGCCGTTGCAGCCAATTGGGGAGTGAACCATCAGATGGAAGACCTCTCTCTCTCTCTCTCTCTCTCTCTTTCTCTCTCGCTCTCTGCCTCTCCTTCTCTGTGTAACTCTTTCAAATAAATAAATCTTTTTTTAAAAATAGGTATCTAAGCAGATATATAAATTTTTAATAATATCTAAAAATTCATAATGGTGTGTTTGAAACATGCACAGTAATTTTAATATAAAAACTAATGTAATAAGTGAATGTAATATAGTTTGGACACAATTGCATCACTTATAGGCACTAAACCTGTAATATATATTTACATATGAAACTTTTGTAAATTTATATGCAATGAAAGAATCAATTCTCCATTCTTATATCCTTAACTCCTAGAGAAAAGTCAAGTTTCCGTTTCTCTTGCATTTCAGAACAAAGTAGAAGAGACGATTTAGAAGCTTTAGGCCATATGTTCATGTATTTTCTGAGAGGCAGTCTTCCGTGGCAAGGCTTAAAGGTAACTTTTTGTGTTCTTTTTAAATGAATTTCAGAAAATGCTCATATATATTAAGGTCCTTTCCTCCAACTAAACAGTTCTCAGATGACCTCATTCACAATTTTCTGTTTTAGGCTGACACATTAAAAGAGAGGTATCAGAAAATTGGAGATACGAAGCGAGCCACCCCGATAGAAGCACTGTGTGACAACTTCCCAGGTAAAGGCTCCTGCCCACTGACATGCACTTCTGAGCAGAAAACCAGAGTCGCTCATTTTCATTGTTTAGATTCGTAAATGCTTCTTATCATACTTTAAAAAAATAAGTTTAAATCATGATTTAAAATACATCAGAATTTGGTGCATAGACCACAGAGATGTTTTATATGTTTGCTTTGTAAGATGTTACTAACGTAGGCATTATTAACATAGGCAAATTGCATGTTTTAATAATGTTGGCCAGTCCCCATCTGAAGTAATATTGTATTCAGTAACTTGCTTTGAATAGCTTAAAATATTTGCTATAGAATACCAACTATGAAGTTTTGCTGTACAGTGTTCTGTGATTAAGTCATATATCACTAAACTGTTGATTGAATCTCTGACACAATTATCCAAGGTTTCTCTTGAAAATATTATAAAGACTTTCTAAACTTGAAACAAAAAGTAGAGGTTGTTACACTAAACCCATTAGTCTTCTTTTGTCTCTGTTTCCTTTCCCCCTTTTTATTTTGTTATAAATAGAAAATTTTAAATTATGATAGAATTTTGTTACTTCTTCATGATTTTCTAGTCCATTGTACTTTCAGCGATTGAAATAATTTTATTACTGGGTGCTATAGAAAAATATGCAGAATAATTTTGATATTCTTTCTAGAAGAAATGGCAACATATCTTCGTTATGTAAGAAGGCTAGACTTCTTTGAAAAGCCAGACTATGACTACTTAAGAAAGCTTTTTACTGATTTGTTCGATCGAAAAGGATACATGTTTGATTATGAATATGACTGGATTGGTAAACAGTTGGTGAGTAGTTCATGCTATATAACTGATTATTTTTTAAAAGATTTATTTTATTTATTTGAAAGATTTACAGAGAGAGGTAGAGACAGAGAGAGAGTGAGATCTTCCATTTTCTGGGTCACTCCCCAAATAGCTCAGCCAGAGCTGAGCTGATCCAAAGCCAGGAGGCAGGAGCTTGGGCCATCTTCCACTGCTTTTCCAAGCCATTATCAGGGAGCTGGATTAGAAGTGGAATAGCCAGGTCTCGAATTAGCACGCATTTGGGATGCTGGTGTTGCAGGCTGGGTCTTTAACCCACTGTGCCATAGCACTGGCCCCCATAATTGATTATTTATAGTGTTTATCTTCCTTTCCACAGTGCATATCCTTCAACTGTATACAGTTGAGAACAAATAATTCTTTACAAGAATTTATTTCCTTTTTTAGGATGTTTCTTAAGCTGGTAACCTACTGTTATTTGAATTGTGTAACAGTCCTACATTTGGACTGTTTGCTTTTTAGAACTTTTCATCCAGATTTAATATCAGATGTACTCTTTGTGGATAGTATTCTCATTATCACTTCAATATTTTGATGAAATTTAAATTATATCCATTTAATTAGTTTATTTGAGTGACAGAGATTGTCCGGAGGAGGGGATTAAGATGGCAGAGTAGGGAAGGAACTTACTGCCCCTGTCTAGGAGAAGAGAGTTTAAAAAAAGTGGAAAAGTGCAGTCTCAGGAAGAGTTACAGAGAAAACAGCAGAGGAAACTCTATGCAAATTAGAAGGACACAGTGGACCTACATGGAGGGGGAGGACACACACAACTCAGGACTTCAGCTGCTTAGAGCCTTCGCCACATTGGAGAGTGAGGTGGGACCAGACTGTAGCAGCCTAAGCTGCTGGTGAAAGAGCTGCAGGAAGAGCCTAGAGGGAGCCCAGGTGGAGCTGCGTGGGGTATAGTGTACCTGGAAAACTAGAGGAGAAAAATCGAAGGGGAGGGGCTACTTTTCTCTCTCCTGGTCACCCTGCAGTTGCATCCTGCAACAAGCTGACAGAGAGCAGGTGCCATGTTGGACATATGTGACAGCTGCGCCAGCTTTTATCTGCGCCTCACAACCCACCAAGTGGAGACTCCTGAGTCTGGTGGGGAGGAAAGACAGGGGGCTCCAGTGCAGGGACTGTGAAAACACTGAGGCTGCGTGGCAGGACTGAGGGTGTGGCTGGGACTTTGGGCTTTCAGTGTGGGAGGCTGCACACAATCGGGGCTCCCGGTTTACCTGGTGAGAGACATTGCTGGGGATCTGAGCTTACACTGAGGACTGCACAGATGCTTTGTGTGGTCCTGTTGGCAGAGCGGATGAATAATAGACTCAGTGGGGCTAGCACCCAGGCACTGGTCTCCTTTGTGGAGAGGAGCTCAGCTGAGCGTACACCAACAGACAATAAAAACCTCCCCTCTGATAAAAAAAAAAAAAAAAAAAGATAACTAGAGATTTATCACATCAAACCTGGGTATGTCACCTCAGACTTGCCCTTCACCCTGGGGCACTGAGTAGAGCTCCTTGGCCACACCTACTACAGCCTCTAAGGTATTCCCTGACAGCAGACACTCCACTAATCCACACAGACATTTTCCAAAGATAAAAGGCACCACAGCGATAAAGCAAAGAAACCAACGAGTATTTCCCCAAATGCCAAGTAACAAATGCACCGACTTAAGAAACAAGAATAAGAAAGACAACATGATGCCCCCAAAAGAACACAACACTTCAATACTAGATTGTGAAGATGGTGAAATTGAAGAAATGCCAGAAATGGAATTCACAGAATTGATCATAGGATTACTTAGAAGTAATCAGAAGCAAATACACGAACTAATCAAATCCATACATGACATGAAGGAAAATTTCTCCCACAAGGTTGAGATCCTAAAGAGAAATCAGAACGAAATCTTGGAAATGAAAAATTCAATAGAACAATTTAAAAAATGAGTGGAAAGTCTTGACAACTGAATTGGTGAAGTAGAAAAAAGAATATCCGACTTAGAAGACAAAGCACAGGAAATTATGCAGTCAGACCAAACAGAAGAAGAAATTAGAAAACTTAAAAAACACTGTTGCTAATGTGCATGATACTATCAAAAGACCCAGCATATGGGTTCTAAGATTTCCTGAAGGTGTGGAAAGAGAGAAAGGGTTAGAAGGCCTTTTTAGTGAAATAATAACTGAAAATTTCCCTGATTTGGAGAGAGGGACATCCAAGTACTGGAAGCACATAGAACTCCTAATAGACATGAGCAGAAAAGATTTTCACCATGACACATTGTAATCAAACTTTCCACAGTAAAACATAAAGAAAAGATTCAAAAATGTGCACGAGAGAAGTGCCGCATTACTTTCAGAGCATCTCTGGTGAGACTCACAGTGGACTTCTTATTAGAAACTCTACAGGCAAGGAGAGAATGGTGAGATATATTCCAAATCTTGAGAGGAAAAAAACTGTAAACCCCAAACACTATACCCTGCAAAGCTCTCATTTATGAACGAAGGTGAAATAAAGACCTTTCATGACAAGTAGAAAGTGAAAGAATTTGTCACTACACACCTAGTCTTGCTGAAGATACTTAAGGATGCTGCACACAGAAATACAGAAACATGGTCATTACTATTAAAGAAGGTAAAGGAAGGAAATCTCCCAGGAAAAGTACAAAGGAAATCCAAAGTAAAAAATAGGAATATTTATGGAAAAATGGCAGGGCAAAATTGTTAGTTATCAGTAGTCACATTGAATGTAAATGGCCCCAGCTCTCAAGTTAAAAGACACAGACTGAATGGATTAAAAAACCCATCTATTCTCTGCCTACAAGAAACACACCTCACCAGCAAAGAAGCACACAGACTCAAAGTGAAAGGATGAAGAAAGATATTCCATGCCAACAGGAACCAGAAAAGAGCTGGTGTATCATCCTAGTATCAGACAAAACAGACTTTCATACAAAGCTGTTAAAAAGAGACCAAGAAGGGCACTGTGTAATGATTAAGGGATCAGTTCAACAGGAATATGTGACTATTATAAATATATATACACCCAATTATAGGGCACCAGGCTATTTAAAAGAAATGTTAAGAAATAAAAGGAGACAGACTCAAATACAGTAGTATTGGGGGATTTCACTACCCCATGTTCAGCCATGTACAGATCAGCTAGACAGAAAATCAGCAAGGAAACAGCAGATTTAAATGACACTATAGGCCAAATGGAACTAGCAGATATCTACAGCACTTTTCATCCTATATTTGCAAAATACACATTCTTCTCACCGGTGCATGGGATTTTCTGTAGGGTAGACCACATGCTATCCCATAAAGCAAGCCTCAGCATATTCAAAAAATTGCAATTGTACCATGCATCTTCTTGGACCACAGTGGAATAAAGCTGGAAATCAACAACTCAAGCATCTAGAACATATGCAAACACATGGAGAATGAACAAAATGCTCCTGAATGAACAGTGAGTCATAGAAGAAATCAAAAGAGAAATCAAAGAATTTCTAGAAATAAATGAAGATGAAAGTACAGCATATCAAAGTTTCTGGGATATAGCAAAAGCAGTGTTAAGAGGAAAGTTTTAGCAGTTGGTGCCCACATCTAGAAATTGGCAAGGCACCATATAAATGAGTTATCAAAGCATCTCAAGGATCTAGAAAAACAACAGCAAACCAAACCCAAAACTAGTAGGAGAAAAGAAATAATTGAAATTAGAGAAGAAATCAATAATATTGAAACCATAAAAACAATACAAAAGATCAGGAAACGAAGATCTGGTTTTCGAAAAAATAAAATTGACACACCATTGTCCCAACTAATCAGAAAAATGAGAGAGAAGACCCAAGTAAATAAAATTAGAGATGAAAAAGAAATGTAACAACAGACAGCACAGAAATAAAAAGAATCATCAGAAATTACTACACAGAGCTGTATGCCAATGAAGTGGGAAACCTACAAGAAATGGATAGATTCCTGGACCCATACAACCTGTTTAAATTGAGCCATGAAGACATAGAAAAACTAAACAGACTCATTACCAAGACAGAAATTGAATCAGTAATAAAGACCCTCCCAACAAAGAAAAATCCAGGACTGGATGGCTTCACTGCTGAATTCTAGGAGACATTTAAAGGAGAACTAACCCCAGTTCTTCTCAAATTATTCAAAACAGTTGAAAAGGAGGGAATCCGCCCAAGTTTTTTCTATAAAGCCAGCATCACCTGAATTCTCAAACCTGGAAAAGATGCAACAGAATAAGAGAATTACAGACCAATTTCCCTGATGAACATAGATGCAAAAATCCTCAACAGAATTCTAGCTGATCGAATCCAAAAACACAACAGAAAGATAATTATCCTGGACCAAGTAGAATGCGTCCTTCAAATGCAGGAATGGTTCACCATTTGCAGATCAATCAATGTGATATATCACATTAACAAACTGAAGAACAAAAACCATATGATTATATCAATAGATGCAGAGAAAGTATTTGATAAAATACAGCACTCTTGCACGATGATAACTCTAAGCAAATTGGGTATAGAATGAACATTCCACAACACAATCAAGGCAATTATGACAAACCCACAGCCAGTGTCCTATTGAATGGGGAAAAGTTGGAAGCATTGCCACTGAGATCCGGAACCAGACAAGGATGCCCATTCTCAACATTGCTATTCAATGTAGTCCTAGAAGTTTTCATTAGAGCCATCAGGCAAGAAAAAAATATCAAAGGATACAAATTCTGAAAGAGGAACTCAAACTATCCCTATTTGTGGATGACATGACTATATACATGTAGGGAATCCAAAAGATTCCACCATGAGACTGTTGAAACTCATAGAAGAGTTTGGTAAGTTAGCAGGACATAAAATCAATACACAGAAATCAACAGCCTTTGTACATACAGGCAATGGTATGGCTATGAAAGAAGTGTTTTGTTTTGTTTTGTTTTGTTTTTTGACAGAGTTAGACAGTGAGAGAGACAGAGAGAAAGGTCTTCCTTTTGCTGTTGGTTCACCCCCCAAATGGCTGCCATGGCTGGCGCACTGTGCCAATCCGAAGCCAGGAGTCAGGTGCTTCCTCCTTGTCTCCCATGCGGATGCAGGGCCCAAGCACTTGGGCCAACCTACACTGCCTTCCCGGGCCACAGCAGAGAGCTAACTGGAAGAGGAGCAACCGGAACTGAATCCGGCACCCCAACCGGGACTAGAACCCCGCAGGTGTTCTAGAAATAGAACCCCGGCGCCACAGGTGGAGGATTAGCCTAGTGAGCCATGGTGCTGGCCAGTATGAAAGAACTTTTAAGATCAATCTCATTCACAATATCTACAAGAAAAAATTAAATAACTTGGAATAAATTTAACCAAGGATGTCAAAGATCCCTACAATGAGAATTACAAAACATTAAAGAAAGAAATAGAATATACAAAAAAAAAAAAAGGAAAAGTCTTCCATGTTCATGGATTGAAAGAATCAGTATCTCAAAATGTCTATTGTTCTAAAAGCAATTTACAGATTCAATATGATACCAGTCATAATACCAAAGACATTCTCAGATCTAGAAAAAAATGCTGAAATTCATATGGAAACACAGGAGACCTCAAATAGCTAATGCAATGTTATTAAAGAGAAATAAACCAGAGGCATCACAATACCGGATATTGAGGCAAACTACAAAGCAGTTATAATCAAAACAGCCTGGTACTGGTACAGATACAGATGGATAGAGCAGTGGAACAGAATAGAAATGCCAGAAATCAATCCAAGCATCTATAACCAGCTTATATTTGACCAAGGAACTAAGGCCAATCCTTAGAGGAAGGACTGCCTCTTCAGCAAGTGCCACTGGGATAACTGGATTTCCACATGAAGCACAACCTCTAGTTTCCCCTTACACAAATATCCACTCAAAATGGATTAAAGACCTAAATCTATGACCTGATACCATCAAATTATTAAAGAACATTGGGAAATTCTGCAAGACATTGGCACAGACAAAGAGTTCTTGGAAAAGTTCCCAGAGGCACAGGCAGTCAAAGCCAAAAGTAACAAATATCATTACATCAAATTGAGAAATTTTTTTTTTAAGATTTATTTTATGTATTTGAAAGACAGAGTTACAGAGAGGTCTTCCATCCGCTGGGTTCACTCCCCAGATGGCTGCAATGGCTAGAGCTGTGCCGATTCGAAGCCAGGAGCCAGGAGCCACCTCCATGTCTCCCACGTGGGTACAGGGGCCCAAGGGCTTGGGCCATCTCCTACTGCTTTCCCAGGCCATAGCAGAGAGCTGGATTGGAAGTGGAGCAGCCGAGATTCGAACTGGCTCCCATATGGGATGCTGGTGCTTCAGTTCAGGGCTTTAACCTGCTGCGCCACAGCACTGGCCCCAAGAAGATTCTTTACTTCAAAATAAACACTCAGGAAAGTGAATAGGCAACAGTCAGAATGGGAGAAATTATTTGCAAACTATGTAACTGATAAAGGATTAATAACCAAAATACATAAAGAGCTCAAGAACCTCCACAACAACAAAACAAACAAACCAGTTAAGAAATGGGCCAAGGGCGTAAACATATTTTTCATAATAGTAAATTCAAATGGCAAACAGAGACATGAAAAAATGTTCAGGAACACTAGCCGGCAGGAAATGCAAATCAAAACCACAGTGAGGTTTCACCTCAGGCTGGTTAGAATGGCTTTCATACAGGAATCAATAAACAACAAATGCTGTCAAGCATGTGGGGAAAATGTACACTAGTCCACTGTTGGTGGGAATGCAAACTGATAAAACTACTATGGAAGACAGTTTGGGGATACCTCAGAAATCTGAATATTGACCAACCATATATCCCAACCATCCCACTCCTGGGAATTTACCCAAGGGAAATGAAATCAGCAAATAAAAGAGTTATCTGCACCCCCATGTTTATTTCAGCTCAACTCACAATAGCTAAGACATGGAATCAACCTAAATGCCTGTCAACTGAAGACTAGATAAAGAAATTATGGGATATATACTCTATGAAATACTCCACAGGGGGGAAAAATGAAATCCGATCATTTGATGAAATCCGATAATTTGCAACAAAGTAGATGAATCTGGAAAACATCAGACTTAGTGAAATAATCCAATCCCCAAGGGACAAATACCATATGTTCTCCCTGATCTGTGCTAACTAATATAGCACCTAAAAGGAAATCTGTAGAAGTGAAATTGACACTTTGATAAGTAATGACTTGAAAAGCCCTTGTCTCACTATCAAGGAACAACTTTTTTTTTTTCCTTTTCTTTATACTATTTGTTGAACTCTTTACTTAACACAGAGTTAATCATATGTGTATAAAGTCAATTGAAAATAGGTCTCAGTAAAAACTAAGAGTGGGAATAAGAGAGGGGGGAGGAAGTTTGTAACTGTAAAGCTGTATAGTTCTGCATAGATTCCTATGGACTTTTAAGGGTACAGTTTAAAAACTTGCCATGAGATCCCAAATCTCATTAAGCTGGGTGGTAAAAACACCATCTTAAGTGTTACAATGACCATATTAATTGATAAAGTGATCATATAGATCAGATTAAGTATTAAAAGGATGATATAAATAAAATCAAATATTGGTAATAATAATAGATAGAAATAAAAAGGAGAGGATGTTCCAACATGGGAAGGAGTTCACTCCAAGACTCATAGAATATGCTTTAAATAGCATGCTGACCTCAGAATCAGCCCTTAAAGCATTCTGGTCTGGCTGAAAATCTCATGAGAGCTCTTCTGGCATGGGAAGCCAAGACACTGGCAAAAAAATGTCCTACATCAAGGATCTCTGTGAGAAAGACTCCAGTGGAAAGCAGTATCCATCAAAGAATGATGTACTTTTCTCTGAAGGGAGGAGAGAACTTCCACTTTGCTATTGTGTTGACTAAATACTGACAGAGATTGTGGATTCAGAAAGGTTCCATAGCCTTGGCAGCTTGTGTCAAGAGCCTTGGGTGATCAATGATGTCATACATAAAAGTGTTCATTGTTAAATTAACACCAGGAGTCACTGTGCACTTTCTTCCCATGCAGGACTTCTGTCCTCAGCAAGTCGTATTATGAGAATTAACTGTAAAACTTGTTCCCAAATAGTTGTGTGTGTGTATGTGTGTGTGTGTATGTGTGCAAGTTGTTGAAATCTTTATTTAGTTTAGAGTTGGTCTTCTGTGTATAAAGTTAATTTAAAATTAATCTCAATGGAGAATGGGACTTTTGGCCAGGCCAAAGCCAGGAGCCAGGAGCTTTTTCCAGGTCTCCCACATGGGTTCAGGGTCCCAAGGCCCTGGGACATTTTCCATTGCTTTCCTAGGCACATTAGCAGGGAGTTGGCTCAGAAGTGGAGCACTTGGGACTCAGACTGGTGCCCGTATGGGATTCTGGCACTGTAGGACACTGTGCCAGCCCTATCTTTAGATATTTATTTATTTGAAAGGCAGAGCTAGAGAGATGAGAGAGAGGGATACCTTCCATCAAGAGAGAGTGAGAGAGAGCGGTACCTTCCATCTAGTGGTGCACTCCCCAAATGGCCCCAAAGGCCAGGTCTGGGCTAGGCTAAAGCCAGAAGCTTCATTTGGGTCTTCTATGTGGTTGGCAGGGGCTTAAGCACGAGGGCCATCTTTGGCTACTTTTCTAGGTTATTAGGGAGTTGGATTAGAAATGGAACAACTGGGACACAAACCAGTGCCTAAAGAGGATGTTGGTATTGCAGGAAGTGGCTTTGCCCATTAAGCCAAAATGCCAGTCTCAGCTAAATGATATTAATTAAGCAATGTTAAGTAGAATGAATTGATGCTCATTCTTATTTCATTGTAGCCTACTCCAGTGGGTGCAGTTCAGCAGGATCCTGCTCTGTCGTCTAACAGGGAAGCACATCAGCACAGAGACAAGATGCAGCAATCCAAAAACCAGGTTTGATGCCCTTCTTAGATATGGAATATGCTCACTTGTCCCAAGAGTAAACCACTTAGTTTTCTTCAGTAGTTAAAATAGATCATACACAATTTTTTCTAATTTCACAATTTCTTAGTTTAATAATACATTAAAATCTTTAATCATAAATTCCTGACTAATGGCATAAGTTAGTTTAAACTTTATGCAATGTTTGGTGTCCTGTTAGGGTGAAGATATTTGTATACACTATTGAAATGAATTTTAACAGCACTTGATCTTTTTAACTATAGTCTAGTTTAATTCAACAAATTATTTACTGAGTTCCTACCATCTAAAAGCTATTTTTCCATGTGTTGTAGGAATGCAGAAGAAAAGAAGATGGTATAACCTATATGAAGTTATTTTTTAATAAGTGACTAAGAGCAATATTGTAGTTAAAATTCACTCAATCTTTGGAATCAGATATACATGGATAGGTGGGACCCTGGGCATATTAATTTCTCACAGCCTCAATTTCCTCTCTGTAATTTGGAAATAAGGCGAGTTGATTCCTAGTGTTTAGCAAGCTCTCAGTAACTCCCACCTCTTGTGGCTGCTATTATTGTCATCATGATTACTGAAATAAATGCTCAACCTTCTGTGTTTCAAAGCTCAGTAAGCCAGCCATCTCATATGGAACAGACTCATAAACTGCTTTGGGGGCATCTGTAAAGATTTTCTGAAAAGGTAGCTTTTGAGATAAGCCTGAAGGATGAGTAGAATTTTTAAAGGCAGTTTAAGGAATAAAGGCATTTTGGTGAGAGTAAATAGTATGCAGTGTGAAACAGAGTTTAAACGTGGTGTTTGAGGAATAGCAAATTAGTATAGTGTGGTTGGTGCACAGAGCAGGCGCAGAGAGAGTACAATGAGCTTGCAGTAGACAGAGACCGATGGAAAGTGAAAGCTTCTGTTTCTTGGGTGGAAAGCTGTTACATTTTTGAGTGGTGATTAAAGTGTGAGTTTCTTGAAGCCATCTTTGACTTAAAATTTTTACTATCATCCCGAGTTTAAATATACATGAATTTTCAGTCCTACTTCTTTTTAGCTTTTTTTTAAATATTTATTTATTTATTTGAAAGAGTTACACAGAGAGAGAAGGAGGCAGAGAAAGAGAAAGGAGAGAGAGAGAGAGAAAGAGAGAGAGAGAGGTCTTCCTTCTGCTGGTTCACTCCCCAAATGACTGCAACGGCCAGAGCTGGGCCATTCCGAAGCCAGGAGCTTCTTCCGTGTCTTCCACGTGGGTGCAGGGGCCCAAGGACGTGGGTAGTCTTCCACTGCTTCCACTTGAGACTTCCCAGAGACTTGGGAAGTCTTCCACTTCCCAGGCCATAGCAGAGAACTCGATTGAAAGTAAAGCAGCCGGGACTCGAACAGGTGCCCGTATGGGATGCTGGCACTGCAGGTGTTGGCTTTACCCTCTATGCCACAGTGCCGGCCCCCTGCATCTTTTTGAAGAAGGGTAGTATGTTGTGCTTTTTAACTCTGACAGGTTTTATTCCATCAAATTTCAATTGAGGATTAAGACAAGAATTAGAGGAAAGAACACCACTTGTTTAGAACCATAGCAAAATAACATGCTGCATTTTAGGGAATAGTTTACCATATTCTGTAAATGATAGTCAATATCAAACGATCACTTTAAAACATTTGACTTAGAAATATTGGAAGCTTAAGTGTTTCATGAGTAAATTATTTTATATATAAAATATAGTTAGTTGATGGCTTGAAGCACTCTGATATTAAACTGGCTTTAGAAAGAAATGGCCCAGCAGTCTAGACTCAAAAGCTTGTGTTTTATAAGACAGAGTTCATTTCTTGATTGCACTTTAAAGAAAATCGATTATTTTCTCTAAATTCCTTGAGTTGAACTGTTAGTAAGAAAAACACATTGTTGTATTAAATATTTTTTTAAAGATTTATTTATTTCCTTGAAAGAGTTACACAGAGAGAGAAGGAGAGGTAGAGAGAGAGAGGTCTTCCATCCACTGGTTCACTCCCCAGTTGGCCACAACGTCTGGAGCTGCACCAATCCAAAGCCAGGAGCCAGGAGCTTCTTCTGGTTCTCCCACGTGGGTGCAGGGGCCCAAGGACTTCTGCTTTCCCAGAGCATAGCAGAGAGCGGGATCAGAAGTGGAGCAGCGGGGTATCGAACTGGTGCCCATATGGGATGCCAGCACTTCAGGCAGCAGCTTTACCTGCTACACCACAGCACTGGCCCCATGTTTTATTAAAATGTAAAATTTTTAACTTTACATGTTTCAGACATGTGTTGTGAGCAAGACAGGAGGCTTACTGAGGGTGGGATCCTTAGTTTATTTGTGTAAATCCCCACACACTCTGAAACTCACAAACCTATACACCTTTGCACACACACACGAACACAGACTCACACATACACACAAATATACACACACAGAACTGCAAGAAATTCTTTAAGATAGATTTATATTTGGAATTTGAGGTCTGGATATACAGATTCTCATCATGTTATAAAAGTGTAGTATTAAAAAAAAAAAAAACCTCTCCTTAAATATCTGTAATTCAGTAATTAAGTTAAGTTCTATGAGATATACATAGTTTACAATCCCAAAGGGGGAAAAAAATTCTTTCAAATGATTGATACCTTTGAAAGGCCCCCAGATCAACAGTTAATAATCCAGAGTTCGTGGTTGAAGTTCAGGGGATTCTTCTGTTGTATGTGAAATGCTGCATGGATGTACCTGTTCATTTGAATGAGAAGTTGCATAGCTTTTAGTATATTTTTAGAGTTCCTTGGCTCCAGTTGCCTATTGTGCTAGATATCTGTCTCAGTGTTAACCATCGTTTTCATTCTTTCATCTTGTTTAGATTTGATTTCTTCTAATTTATTTCAGTGTAAGTTACAGATCTTCTAAGTGCTGGTTGTAAATTTGGAAAGTTTAAAGTAAATATATCGTAGAACTATAATTGTTTTGGTGACCTCGTTTATGCCGCTGAGTATGTGATTTTGCATTCTACAATTTAATTTAGAAAGCTTGGTGGCAGAACATTTATTCTCTCCCTCGGAAAGTTGCTCTGGCTACTTGCCCTTACCCGGACTCAGTATAGCCCAAAGGGCTTGGCACTTAGTGGCAAGATTTTCTTGGCTTTTGTTGCAAAAGAAAGCCAAGGTCACTGAAAGCTTTAAGGAATGAGTAATTGTGATGAGGAGCTAGGTGGTATTATTGCAAGAGAAGTAGACTCTGAGTTGGAGTCCAGGGTTGCACTTTGCTAGCTCTTGAGCTTAGGGAAGTCTGAGTGGCTTCATCAGTAAAATTCGAGTTAGACTGTCCATCTGAAAATGAAATAGCACCTGTAAAGCAGCTTTTGTAGAAGCCAACCATTTTTTTGTTAACACTGTCCACATTAAACTTGTTTCATAAAAATGGATTCCTTAATTTGAACCTGATAAGAAGAGATTAAGAAAGCAAAGGGATTTATAAGTAGGATTGCCACTTTTTAAAAAAATTGATGTTTTCAAAGAGCTTTTGCTGTTTTTTCAGTTTGCTGGCACAATCAGAAACAGGGTATTAAGTGAGAGAGAACATTTTTCTAGAATCTCAAGTACAGCTATTTAAGGTCTGTCTTTCTTACCTTGATGAAATAGCCCCTCATCAGAAAGCCAGTGGGACCTCTACTGTGGGCCTTTCAGGGCCTTCTTGGTGTGTTGGGAGTGCTGTCTTGGGCACTCCCTCTTTAGCTCCCTGGTTGTTTGTCGACATCATTTATAGAATTAAAGCACAGAGTCTGAGATCTCTACAGTCCTTTTAGTTCTGAAATTTTAAGGTTCAATTTTGTTTTTGTTGATCATTGCCTAGTTTAACAGTTTAATTGAAGTCTCTCCACATGCCATTTGCAAAAGATAACGACACTGATGATTCAGAATAGTAAGATTACCTTAACTTTCCTTTTATACATTTGTTTTTCACATTGTGAGGATGAGCTGTTTAACATATTGGGTTTTTCTTCTTCCATGCATGCCACATGCATGAAACACATGGCAGTCGGCAGACCCCAGGGCAGCTTGGGACTCCCAGCAGGCCAATCCCCACCATGTGAGAGCTCACCTTGCAGCAGACAGACATGGTGGCTCGGTACAGGTATTTTCTGATTTTTGCATGAGTGCTTATTCCCCAAATTTATACAACTAACCCTTTTTTTGGAACTCGTGGCATGATTTCATATCCTAATGGAAAGCTTGTTGCTGAACTCTATCTATAATTCTATTCTTTTGTTATTTAACCAGAAAACAAAGTTAACATGGTCGAGAAAGACCACCAGAGATACTAAGATTTTGCCTTTGTTTATTTTTTACAAGTATATGCAGTAGTATTTAAGTCATATTTATAACAAATTAGAAAAACAAACTGTATTACTTAAATATATTAAATTTTTTTTTTAATAATAAACTCAGTTTTTAATGCCTTAAGTAATTATATGTTTTCCCTCACATTGATTTTACCTTTTTCAGTCTCAAGTCAGTTAAGTAGATATTTATTTTTTATCTTCAGTACTCAGAACTTACTTCCTGATTCAGTCAGATAACATGATCTTAATTTTTCTAAAGGCATTAAATTTTTTTTTTTTTTAATTTGAACGAGTGAGACACACAGAGAGAGAGAGAGAGAGAGAGAGAGAGAGAACTCCCATCGCTGATTCACTGCCCAAATGCCTGCGGTGGCTGGGGCTGGGCAAGGGCTATGGCTAGGGATAGGCTAGAGCCAGGAACTTGAACCTTAATCCACATCTTCTAAGTGGGTGGCAGGAGCTCTGTTACTTGAGCCATCACCACTGCTTTCCAGAGTCTGCCTTGGCAGGAAGCAGATGGAGTTAGCAGCTGGAGCCAGGCACTGAGTCCAGACATTCTGTTGTGGGACAAAGGTGTCTTAACCAGTTTCTTAACTGTTAGGCCAAATGCCTTTCCGTTTTTAATGGCATGTTAATTGTTGTAGAAGATGCTGGATAAAGAATAATTTATGTCATAAGTATTTATTAAATACTCCTCGATACACTTTGTGGACCTTTCACACAAGTTTAGAGCATTCCTTTATTTATGATTTCCTCTTTTCCTTTTTTTTATACCCCTGGGCACAGGTGCTATATTCTGCCCTCCCATGACCTTAAATTTTAATTATATGTGTGTATTGTGGAAACAGGGAAAGATGACTGTGTCTCATGTCTTTTAAAATGTCAGTTTAAGAGCCGGCGCCGTGGCTCAATAGGCTAATCCTCCACCTTGCGGCGCCGGCACACCGGGTTCTAGTCCCGGTTGGGGCGCCGGATTCTGTCCCGGTTGCCCCTCTTCCAGGCCAGCTCTCTGCTATGGCCAGGGAGTGCAGTGGAGGATGGCCCAGGTGCTTGGGCCCTGCACCCCATGGGAGACCAGGAAAAGCACCTGGCTCCTGGCTCCTGCCAGGATCAGCGCGGTGCGCCGGCTGCAGCGGCGGCCATTGGAGGGTGAACCAACGGCAAAGGAAGACCTTTCTCTCTCTGTCTCTCTCTCTCACTGTCCACTCTGCCTGTCAAAAAAAAAAAAAAAAAAAAAATGTCAGTTTAAGATAATGTGAATGCTTGGTTAGAGTTGTTGAGATTACAAGTGTTACCTCAGTCCATTTCATTTTAGAATCATTTTGATTTTTCCTCCATATAATTTCACTTGAAAAAATTTTCATTATTTTATCAAATTTGCATTTTTCTTGGTATGCACCAATGGATTCTGTATTTTAGATGTTATTTCTTGCTTCAGTTACTAAAACATCAGTTTGCGGTTAAGTCTTAAGAGCACACATTTTTTTCCCACCATTAAATTTTAGAGATAATTTAAAATGCATAGCCGGATATTTTTACAGAATTTATAGTGTGTGGAGTGTTTAGTAATGAGTAATGGAAGTATTTGAATACTTCTTAAAAGCCTAGGGTAAAAGACCCAGAAATAAGGGTTCCTGAACTGTAAAATTTTTGATCAACTCAATTTCTGTCATTGGACAAGCAAACGGAGCAAGTTGTATATAATTTGCACAACACAAACTGATTGTACACATTTCTGTGATGCTGAGTTTGTGTGCACACTATTCTTTCTAATGTTCTGCTCAGGCTCAGGGAAATGTGCAGCTGTTTAGGCACTATATTAGAAAGCCTTCCTACCACTTCTGTAGCTTTAACTCCAGTGTACTTCCTTAACTTCTTCCTCTTCTGTGATTCCTAAAGGGGCATCCTTGGCTCCCTTTGGATTGTCAAAGGGTGAATAATGGTTATTGGCTCATCACTCAGTCCTTCATGGTCTGTTCTTTCAGATTGTTTCCATAGACGTATTTGGACTTTGTTATTTTCTTCCAGTTTCTCTCCCACACATCTCATTTCATTCTAACATGCAAAGAAGTGATCACTTTACTTACTAGAATTGCGATAGTACATAGAATAAATACATATATAAAATAAGCAATTGTATACTATTCATTGAGTTCATAAAACTGTCTCAAAATATTAACTGACTTGATTTGATGGATATCAAAATAGTTTGATTTTCATGAAAAATTTACTAAGTAGGATCATGCGTGAGTCTTGTACCAATTCAAAATAAGGACTGAATTCATTTATAATTTATATCCTACATACTTTCAAAGTTACTTGAGAAATTATAACTCTTGTATAATTTAACTAATGAAATTACAAATTTAAACTAATGAAAGGAAAGAAAATTAGCTAAAATGTGAGCTAATGTGATTATAATTGAATACTATAGTTAAAACAGAACAAAGGAAAACAGTATGTTCTATCATTTTACATGTATGATAAAAACAAGAGATAAAAGAAAAGACCTTATTACAGCATGAAAGAATTAGAGGAATTTGCCTGTTAAAGGACTTCCAAGCATTGGCTTTGCAGGAAGTAGATACTGATACTTTATATGGCAATTAAAAATATTCTCAACAAATATTAAGGGCATATTATCGGAATAGGTAGCTGGTGGGTGGTAAGGTGTGATGCAGATCTGGGATCCTCAGATAGAGCCTGCAGATGCCTGCGGTGAGGCTCTGGGTGCCTGTGGCATGTGTCTGTCCCTCACCTGTCGTTTCCTTCTTTCTCTGGACCTGATTTTTCTCTCAGTCCAGCGCTAGAAACATTGCAGGCTAGTTGGAGCTGACGTGCGGGGTGAAATCTTGCCCTTTCAGACTACAGGAGGTCCTCAGGTGTTTGTGACTCCACTTGAGCTTCGAGTAGCAGCTGAGAAGCAGAGCTTGGATTTGACTCCTTGCCTTTGCAGAGCTAGCAGAGCACACACAGACTGCCCGGTGAGGCTGTGCCTCGGAGCGTAAGCGCCACAGTCCGATTGGAATTAAAGTCCTGTGTTTTAGAGGGTTTATCATTAAACTGTGGTTTTGTGAATACTCAGTGTTTTAAAGATGCATTAGCTTAGAGGCTGCTCCTTATGAAGTGCTAGATAAGTAGAATTTATTGCTTTTGCAAATTTTAAGGAGCCTGTCTAATGTTTTTCTTCATCTCTGGTAAGTAAAGTATACAGACATAGCCAAAAGAAGGCATTACCAAATGGAATCTTTCTAATTTAATTTTATCTCTGTAGTGAAATCATGTTAATTCATTAGCAGGAAGGATATAACTACACATCTGTTGATCTTTCCCACTGAGAAGACTAAGAATGATATTTGAATGAGTGAACGTGTTTTGGAAAGCCCCTAGGGCCATTGTATGTGCCCCTCTGTGGTTCCCTTTAGAATCAATGCTGATAAATTGCCTGAGAAACTTAGAACCACCACATTAAGATTCTTAGCCATTCGTTATTGAGCAATTATCTATATGTTAAAAATTTACCAGGAGCAAGATAGAGTGTTCTGAAAGAAGAGCAGAGAGCTTTAATGACTGTTCTCATGGCGCTTTTTATCAGTAGAAAAGGCTGATAGGCAGGCACCAGGGTAAGTGGGGATTGCACAGGGTGCTAGGAGAGTCTACAGGAAGAGAACCTCAGCAGGGTTTAAAGGATCAAGGTTTCCTGGAAAAAGTGTTCTCTAAATTGAGGCTTGAAGAATCTATAGATAGTGCTCAGTGAGGAAGACAGGAGGAGACCAGAGAGGGGTGTCCCAGGCAGGAAGAGAGCACGCACAAGGTGGAATTCAGGAGTACTGGTGTGTGCTGGGAAGTGGGACTGAGCACCAGGCAGGGTGCAGGTCATGAAGGAGCTAGTCAGTCTTGGTATTAAATTTGGACTTTGGGCTGAGGATATTGTGGAGCCACCAAGAGAATTAGGAGGCAGACTTGATTGGTCTAACGTTTGTGAGGACTGTGCTGTAGACTGGATTGGAGGGAGAGAGTGTGGCAGAGTCTCGGGCCTGGAGCTGGGGAGGAAGGGTGGGTGGTGGAGATGAAGAGAGATGAAAAGGCCTGAGGAATCATTGGAAGGCAGAGTTCAGTTGTGTGTAGGGGTGAGAAGAAAGGAAGAGTTCAGTTGTTCTCCTTTTTGGTGTATTTCTGCCTAGCAAATCAGTATATCCAAAATTTGGTTTTGGGATCGCACTCGAAGCAGACAGTGTGACCTCTCATTCCATCGCAGCTGTGCACTCCCCTGTAGCACAGCGCGGCTGAACTCAGTGCCCACTGCAGGTCTGATCCATGAAGCTGGGCGGCAGCTCCGGAGGCAGAGGGAAGGGGGCAGTAGTTACAGACGCTGCTGAAGAACGGTTGTCATAGCACAGTGTGCACCTGCTTGTTGTTGGGAGATCTCTTGCGTTTGGGCAGCCTGTGGTCCGAATCTAGGGTATCATGTGGCAGGAGGGCAAAAAGGGCAGTCACAGGTTGTGCAAGACAGGTGCTGCCAGGCACTGTTGGGGAAACCAAAGGACACTGTTAGCTGTTGTAACGCACAGTGTGATATTTTATGCAGGAGAGCATCAGAAATACAAATACAGGTGGTGTTAACAGGAAAAGGATTAGACATGTATCTTGAGTGGTAAGGAGAGTATGTGGTTCATAGAGGTGTACTGATGGAGGCCACATCTGAATCAGTTCTCACGGTCGTGCCCACTGTGAATGCTGACTTTTCCAGACCATTTCTAGAACTGCCTTCTCTGTCCAGTCTCTGAAAACT